TTTTTTAAAGATGGGGTTTCACCATGTTGGTCAGGCTGGTCTTGAACTCCTGACCTCAGGTGATCCGCCCGCCTTGGCCTCCAAAGTGCTTGGATTACAGGCATGAGCCACCACACCTGGCTGTAGGTGGGCTACTTCTAAGACTGGTTCTAGGGGCAGAAAAGGAGACCAGATGTAAGACTCCAAAGAGCAGTTGTGATCCTGGTGGCCACTTTAAATCCCTATCCCCTGTGGAGAACACAAAAATGTATAATGTCTGTTTTCTTCTTTTTTTTTTTTTGAGACCAAGTCTCGCACTGTCGCCAGGCACCAGGCTGGAGTGCAGTGGCGTGCTCTCAGCTCACTGCCACCCCTGTCTCCCGGGTTCAAGCAATTCTCCTCCCTCAGCCTCCCGAGTAGCTGGGATTACAGGCATGTGCCACCATGCCCAGCTAATTTTTGTATTTTTAGCAGAGATGGGGTTTCACCATGTTGGTCAGGCTGGTCTTGAACTCCTGAACTCATGAACCACCTGCCTCGGCCTCCCAAAGTGCTGGGATTACAGGTGTGAGCCACCGTGTCTGGTGGTTTCTTCTTTTATGGAATTTTATTTATTTATTTATTTTTTGAGACGGAGTTTCGCTCATGTTACCCAGGCTGGAGTGCAATGGTGCGATCTCGGCTCACTGAAACCTCTGCCTCCTGGGTTCAGGCAATTCTCCTGCTACAGCCTCCTGAGCAGCTGTGATTACAGGCACGTGCCACCATGCCCAGCTAATTTTTTGTATTTTTAGTAGAGACGGGGTTTCGCCATGCCGACCAGGATGGTCTCGATCTCTTGACCTTGTGATCTACCCACCTCGGCCTCCCAAAGTGCTGGGATTACAGGCGTGAGCCACCGCGCCTGGCTCTTTTATGGAATTTAATGTAGTTGAAGATTAGACATGGCCATGCATTGTTCAGTCTTGAATTGGGATCCCCCAAAAAAGCTGGACAAGTAACAAGGGCTCAATGAATGGATGAGTGATTGAGTTAATGAATATGTGATCAGTTCCAAGTGGGTAACATTTAGTTATATTTGGTGGAGATAACTAGTCCAGTGTTTTGGAGCAAAGTGGTTATTTATTTATTTATTTATTTATTTATTTATTTTGAGACAGGGTCTTGCTCTGTCACCCAGGCTGGATTATAGTGTTGCAATCTCAGCTCACTACAACATCTGCCTCCTAGGTTCACAGGATTCTCCTGCCTCAGCCTCTCCAGTAGCTGGGATGCCATCACGCCCAGCTAAGTTTTGTATTTTTAGTAGAAATGGGGTTTTACCATGTTGGCCAGGCTGGTCTCAAACTCCTGGCCTTAAGTGATCTGCCCGCTTCTGCCTCCCAAAGTGCTGTGATTACAGGCATGAGCCACCTGCGCCTGGCTCTCCCCCAACTTTTTTTTTTTTTGTGAGACAGAGTTTCACTCTTGTTGCCCAGGCTGGAGTGCAATGGCGCGACCTCGGCTCACCGCAACCTCCGCCTCCTGGGTTCAGGCAATTCTCCTGCCTCAGCCTCCTGAGTAGCTGGGATTACAGGCACGTGTCACCATGCCCAGCTAATTTTTTGCATTTTTAGTAGAGACGGGGTTTCACCATGTTGACCAGGATGGTCTCGATCTCTTGACCTCATGATCCACCCGCCTCGGCCTTCCAAAGTGCTGGGATTACAGGCATGAGCCACCGCACCCAGCCCCCTTTTTTTTTTTAATAATTAAGACGGGGTTACACCATGTTGGTCAGGCTGGTCTTGAACTCCCAAGCTCAGGTGATCTGCCCGCCTTGGCCTCCAAAGTGCTTGGATTACAGGCGTGAGCCACTGCGCCCGGCCTTCTTTTTTAATTTTTAAAATTTTTTGTAGAAGTTGGGGTGTCGCTGTGTTGCCCGGGCTAGTCTCAAACTCCTGGCCTCAAGCGATTCTCCTGCTTTGGCCTACCAAAATGCTAGGACTACCGGCATGAACTACCATGTCCTGCCCATTACTCTTACAGAGATTATGAAGTCTAAGAATGTGGACTTTACCCTAACAATTTTATTATCAGATTATGCATTTAACATGGAATGACAATCTGACAGTAGCCTGCAGAGTTAACCAGCCGGCAGGGCTTGACACTAAAGGCAAACTGTTTTGGTTTTGTTTTAGACGGAATCTCATCCTGTTGCCCAGGCTGGAGTGCAGTGCTGCCATCTCGGCTGACTTCAACCTCTGCCTCCTGGGTTCAAGAGATTCTTCTGCCTCAGCCTTCCGAGTAGCTGGGACTACAGGAGCATGCCACCACGCCTGGCTAATTTTTGCATTTTTAATAGAGGTGAGGTTTCACCATATTGGCCAGGCTGGTCTCGAACTCCTGGCCTCCTGATCCGTCCGCCTTAGCCTCCCAAAGTGTTGGGATTAGAGGCAGAGCCACCGCGCCGGGCCACAAACTGTCTTTTAAAAACAGGAAAAAGAAAGGTAATATATATTTTAAGAAGGTCCAATTTTAGGGGAGACAATAAGCTTGGGTTAGGCATCTGAAGTCAGAAGATACGGTAAAAGAAACACACGTGCAAACTCCAGCAGGCACCAGCTAGACTTGAGTAGAGACAGCAGGTCCAAGTGGAGGTACAAGTTGGAAAGTTGCAGCTGCGAGGGAGGGCGAAGGTGGGCTACACCCACGCAGGGAGCCCTTTGCTTGACAAGCAAAGCAGGCGAGACTCAGGGATGCTGCTGGTGTGACGGCGGTAGTGGTAATGGTGGTGAGGGTGCTGGCAGCTAACAGATCTTGAGCGTGCCAGGCCCTGAGCTGAGTCTTCTATGGGCAGAATGTCGCTGCTCACGGACAGCGGCCCCAAGAGGACCAGGTGATTTAGTGATCTAGCCTCCTCCCGCGGTGCAGGGCTGATTTCACCTTCTCTGGAACACACGTGCGAACCTCCGTCCCGGGAGGGAACCAGTATCTTGCCCTGACGCTGAGAAGGGCTCCCCTTATCTGAGAGGGACGCGCCAGCCGAGGGGCGACCAGGGCTCGGCCTCTCCCGCTCCCGCCCCGCCCCTCCCCAGGCAGCCGCCCCTCGCCCGCCAGGGGGCGACTCCGCGCGTCCCGGGAGGGCCCACCCCGCGGGCCGGGCCACGCGGCACCCGGCTCTCCCTAGGTCCCCGCCCTGCCGGCCCGCGCGCCCGGCGGGAGCGTGCGGGGCGGTGGGCGCGGGGTCACGTTGGGCGGCGTAGACAAAGGCGGGCGCGCGCACGTCCTGACGCAGCCTGGGCCCGCGGCGGCTGCAAGGGCGGGAGGAGGCGGTCGCCGCGGGATTTGGAGCCGCTGAGCCTCGCGGTCGGTGAGTAGGAGGGAGCTGGCCCTTTCCCTTACGGTCCCCGGCCGCCTGGGGGCCGAGATCGGGGCGCGAAGGCCGGGCTCGGGCGGCCGTGCGGGGCCTGCGGTCCGGGACGCCCCGGCGACGCCGCGCCAGCGTCAGGAGGGACCATCGCCGCGCCCCAGGGATCCCCGGCGGGTGGAGCGGGTGCTCCCCGCCCGCGGTGGAACGGTCCGCGCCCGCCGGGAGCCCCGGCCCCCCGCCTCTCGGCTCCACTGCCCACCGAGCCCGGCTCTTCGGGACCCCTCGCCTCCCCCGAGCCCAGGTGTCCGCATCCCTCCCGCCCCGGGAGTCCGGGAATGTGGGTGGCGAGGGCTGCGGGGCGTTGGAGCACCAGGAAGGGCCTTTCCCTGTCATTCCCCTTCCTGTGTTCTCTGGCTGCCCTGGGATGCATGCCTTTCCCTTCTCTTTTTGCAAATGCATGCTCCCATTTTTCTTTCTTTAGGATTTCTTAACTCCCGAAATCCCTTGCCTTTCCCTTTTTTATTTCAGCGCCCTCCGAGGCATCTACTCCCACTGGGTCTTGTTTATTTCCTCGCTTTCCATGTCACGGAGGGCTGAAGTTTAGGTGTTCAAAAGTTGCAGAAAATAGCCTGTAGGAGACATAGGGTGTAGCTTGATGGAAATAAGTTCCATCACGTGCCAAGCATCACCGTGGATCATCTCATTGATAACCTCGAGGTCATTTGAGGAATTTTGTTTCTGGTCCATTTTCCTTAATTTTGGCTGAACTTTGAGGAGCTCTGCTTAGTTTCATGTCTTGTAGATTATATCTCAATCCAAGGGAAATGGTGTGAAGAGCAGTTATACCATGCCAAAGTCTATGTAGGAAAAATCCTTTAGTAATGCCAATCCGGTATACTTTTCAGCCTTTGAAAGAGAGTGCTTGTTTTTTTTTAACTTTATATTTTGGAGAATTTCAGACAGAGGAACGTAGATGGAATAGGGAACCAGGATGTAGTCGTTCTGGCCTCCTCGGCCACTTACCTGTGACTATTCCTGGTCCATCCACACCCCATCCATTTTCCCTCCCGTCTGTCTCAGGGAGAGCTTGATGCAAGATGAGTCCTTATTTGTCAAAAGTAGCTTCAGTTCCGTAATGAAAACCACCCTACGAAATCATACTTTTTGTTTTGGAACACAGCCTACTCTTATAAGGTCTTCAGCTAAGAAACATGTAATACAGTTGAAGAAAGAGCCGCAAAGGGTATCTTAACGTGATCAAACAGGTTAAAAGAAAAAGTATGGCTGGATTCAGCACTTTGGGAGGCCCAGGCAGGCCGATCGCCTGAGGTCAGGAGTTCGAGACCTGCCTGGCCAACATGGTGAAACTCTGTCTCTACTAAAAATACAAAAATTAGCCAGGCGGTGGGCCTGTAGTCCCAGCTACTCTGGAGGCCAAGGCAGGAGAATCGCTTGAACCCCAAAGGCAGAGGTTGCGGTGAGCCAAGATTGCCCCACTGCACTCCAGCCTGGGGGACAGAGCGAGATTCCATCTCAAAAAA